GACTATGCTGCCTTAGATTTATTATCTGCCTTCTGAAACTGAACAAATAATGAAAAAATTCAATGTTACACTGAATCACCTGTTTAAAAGAAAAGACTGCCTGAGACAGATCTATGCCAGCGGTAAAAGGACATCAACTGTTTTTCAGTAAAAAATATTATATTTCAGCAACAAGTGAGTCATGCAGTTAAAAGGTTGGAAGTCAACTATGTAATAATGAAATGTGATAATGTAAATCACTGAACTCAAGGGTTTTGTCTCTGACAATAAGTTATACTCTAAAAGAAAAGTCAATATTCAAACAAAAATGGATCTGGTAAAACTAGTTTAAAATAATTTCTTGGGTAAAATATGCAACTTTAACAATTTGCAAATATGAATAAACAGTTGACTATAAGCTATGATACGTGCTATTGTTTTCTGTTAAGTATAGGATGAAATGGCCTTACAGGTCACACCACATGGCTATTGTCCATAATCATGGGCTGACATCATATCACATGTAATAATGAACAGATATGTAAATGCTTTTGAAGGATTTCTTGAAAGCAGATCTTGGCACAGACATGCAATCCTATTACTAATGCAACAATGTTTTTATGACAGAAGATCAGTAAAGGCAGTACCGATGATAAAAGTAAATTGCGATATTCTATTAGATTTAATTCCAAATAGTTTATTTTTATCTGTAAAGGGGATTTGAATGATTTCTTTTTGGAACTTGAAATAAGCATATTGAAGGTTTTGTCTGGGTGAGTCCTCATTTTATGCCTGTTCATAAAAAGTGCAAATGTAGCAATGCTATAGAGTCAGAGGAGCATGTGTTCAGATGACAGTTCATTATGTGTGTGACCTTAGTTTTCTCTAAGTCTCACCTTCCTCATTCTTTTACTCCATTAAGAAGCCAACTAGGATGCCATATAAAAGAACTTAAAAAGGATGCCATCACACACTACTGCCATTGTGGGAAGGGGCTTTGGGAATTTTCAAGCATCATTTCATAAACAGAGACTATAACCCTGTATGTATAGCTTTGTGATGTCATCTGATAGCATTCCTAAGCATATCCCATTCCTAAAAAGAAAAAAAAATTCTCAAACTTTTGCAATCTCTTAAGGCAATCTTTACTCAACTTCAGACATAACTCCATGTCACTCAGGCTCTTCTTACTTAATATTTTCCAAACCAACCTTTCCTCTCTAATCTTACACAAATTAAGATTCAGATGTGCTCATTAAAATAATTGGTTAGTATTTTTAAATATGAGCATAAAAATAAAATTACAGGAATTAATGACAAGATTAGTTCTGACCACCTAGAATTGTATCTGACAGAGAGGTATCACTTCAGCAATTGCTATTTAAATTTTCATGTAGTCATGAATGCCTGCAGATTATATTGTTAATAAAAGTTCAAGTGCCATGAATCATTTCTGCTAATTTACAATGCAAGTGGAAAAGGGACACTATGAACACTTAGGATTCCCAAAAGTTCATTAAGAAACATAGGTATTTCATTCCAACTTATACACGTTCAACAATTTCAATAGGTCAACACAAAACATCTCCCTCACACTTGTTATAGGTGCCTGAACCTGAGATGTCATGAATAGTGGTCAAGTTGTTAGCACTGTGCATCATATTTCCTGGCAGACATGCTAAGCATCCTTGAGAAGACTCCTGACTGATGATAGGAAAAGTCCTCATTGTATTTCTAGTGCCAGAAAGTAGTACCATTAGGAAAGCTTTTCAAAAAACACTGAGAAAATCAAGTTTTGCTGTTTGAGTTTTATTACTGTTATTTTTGTCCTGTTAAAAGCTGACTTAGAACAAGAACATTGGAGAAAAGTATGCAAAGGAAATAGATTATACTAATCAAAAAAATTATTAATTCTCCTTTTGATAGTTTAATAGTTACTAGACTGTTCACAAGAAAATGGTTTTTTACTAATATAGACAAATAAAAAAATCTTTGCTTATATATGTGTGTGTGTGTGTGTGTGTGTGTGTGTGTGTGTGTATTACACATATATAGTGTTTATTTATATCATGGGTTATAAAATAATCTTTTTACATTTTATTTATACTTGATTTTAAGCAACAGAATAAAGTAACCATTTTGAAAAACAATAATTATTGGACTCTAGTCAACGAGGTAAGTTATATAGTCCACTGTTTCCTAGACATTGATGAAATGTTTTAGTGAAATCTATGCTTCTTCATCCACTCAGATAGTCACATGCCATTTTCAAAATATATGCAATTTTGTGTTGTATGTAGAAAATTATTTCAGCTATTTAAATTAGGAGGAAGGTCAAAGAATAATCAGTTCTTCAGGAAGAACAATTCAGTAAACTTTGGGAGCACTACTCATGCTCTTTCTCTGTTATACAGGCACCCACAAGTCCTTATAAGATGAACACTTTAAATTACACATTAGGTGGTATGCTGGCTAGTTTTAAGTTAATTTAACAAAGAGTAGAGTCATCTAGAAGAGGGTACCTCAAACTGAGAAAATGTCTCCTGAAGATTAAGCTGTAGGCAAGCCTGTGGAGCATTTTCTTAATTAGTGATTGATAGGACAGGGTCCTGCCCATTGTGGATATAGCCATCCTTGGGCTGATGGTCCTTGGTTCAACAAAGTAGGATGAACAAGCCTTGAGAGGCAAGTCAGTAAGCAGCACTCCTCCATGGCCTCAAGATCAGCTCCTGGCTCCAGGTCTCCGCCCTGTTTTGAGTTCCTGTCCTGGCTTCATTCAGTTGTAGACTATGATATGGAAATGTAAGTCAAATAAACCCTTTCCTTTCCAATTTGCCTTTTGTTCCTGGTGTTTCATTGCAGCAATAGAAACTCTAACTGAGATGGGTGGGGTTGTCTAATGGAGTGTTTTTATGTTATCAGCAAAGCATAAGCTGGGATACAATGTATTGGCTTTAAAATCCTGCCCAACAGGTGCCACTGATGTGTAAGTGCCTTACTAACCAGTTGCCTTTGTGACTGAAGATACAGTATCGTGGAGGAATACTTGCCTAGCACATACCAGATTATAGGAATGATACTTGGCACTTCCAAGGATAATCAACCAGAGGCTATAGATGTAGCCCACAAAGAAAATAAGCTCAATGCAGAAGCAGTAACTGGCCATCTTACTAACTTCTCTGTATAAACACCCACCCACACACACACACAAAAAAAAAACTGTATCCCATATGATAAGGTCCTTTAAAAACATATCTATATCCATCTATCTATCATCTATATTAATATATACATACATAGAGATAGCAAATGTACACAAACATGTTAAAACTGATATGGTCCTCTTTATGAAATAAAACTACTACATCAGAAATAAAGTCATAAAATCGTGTAAATGAAGAAGTCATGGGATGCTGTAAGAGTATCTAAGTATATTCATTCAATATTTCATTAAAGAAAAATATACACATTTCAATTACTTCAAGGAAGTAGATGAAGATATACCAGGGGAAGCATGAATCACACCAGTGAGAGAGGCAAATTGTACAAAGGTTTTACTGAATGAGAAGAAATTCTAGGTAATAAGGGGGGAAAAAGGCACACCTGATGTGAGTCCGCACAAAATTCTCCTGCTGATACACTCGTATCAGACAGCAACAGATTTGTATTCCAGTGTTAAAGTCTAGGAGGGTGAAGTCCATGTAAACATCAGCACATAATACTCTACAGAGCTTCTATGTTTTACTTTAAATGCCTGCCTCCCTCTCTATTTTAATCTTTAAAAACACAAGAAGCAGGTGTCAAATTTTTGACTAAGTATGGTCATTTTCTTATAAGGAACTGGTGTTCCATGAATCCATAGCAAATCTGAAGAAGCTATTATAGGTGTTACACAGTCCTACCCATTCTGCCTAGAATTTCATCCATGAAAGCATATGGCTTCATGAATGCAGAGAAAACTTTCCAGGGCAAATGAAGACAAAAAGACAGATGATAACTGGGAGGTGAGGAGGACAGGGACAGGACATGAGACTTAGCAAGACTGAGAAAAACCAGGATGTCATATGCATAAAGCTCCAAGAGCAATCTTCTGCATGCCTCAGAGTCCCACTGAGAACAGAGAAAGACCAGAACACTGAATCTGCATCGAATTCCCAAACACCACCAAGGACCTACTTCTAACTCCCCCTGCATCTCAGCAACCCCAGGAGTTCCCAGCTACAAGACTCAATAAATTAGAAACTTCTGTCTTTAAGCCAGATTTCCATTACATATAAAAATGTCCCAAATTTAAAGGACAACAGAAAGGTTTCAAGTTTAGTTTTCATTTACCAACTCAAACTCACAATACCTCTCACTTCCATTTACAAGGCAAAGTTGATTGAGCTCTTGAGATTTTTTTCAAACTCAATACTGAATGATATTTCACAAACTTTCCTATAATCATGAGTCTCTTTGAAGAAGTGGACATGCTTTATGATAAAGAAGAAACTGTACCTAGCATCTAGAATCTTTCTGCTATCTCCCTGGTTGACTATAAATTCTACATATACTTTGACATAACCAAGGTTTCAGTGAAAGAGAGACGTATCATTTAATATCAATGTGCCATTTACACATGTCGCATTAAAGGCTTATTCTTGAAATTCTATTTTTATGCATCTCAGTTTGAATAGAACATATATTTTTAAGTACAATACACTTATACCAACTCTTTGTTACATGGAATAGTATTTCAAAAAATTCAACCATATACCAATATATAGATATATTCAATTATATATATATATATATATTCAATTATAGATATATTCAATTCAAATATAGATGATATGACCTCAAACAGGGAAATCATAAACACCATTCACTTACTGATCTCAGAGGCCTAATTGAAAAAAGAGAACAAACGTTATTTCAGAAAAATAGATATCAACATCTGTATTCACACTAGCTAACTCAAAAGTCCCTCTCACCGAAGGCTTCAAACATGAACCTAACCAGAGAAAGCAGAGCATACTCACAAATTATACAGCATGTCAGCCATGTTGCTGCGGTAGTACAAAGCGTTTCTATAGGCGCTTTCAGCTTCTGCAATCTTACTCTGACTCTTCAGCACATTTCCAAGGTTGCCCCATGCTGGCAAAAAGAATAAGAAGTATTCAGGCTGAGTGTCAATCCAGTTATACATGACATAATATCCATCCATCAGGAAGTACCACAGGAGATGGGGGGGGGAGATCCCTCATAAAACATTTTATGGGGAAAATTTATTTCCTCTATACTCTAACATTTCATCAAGCCAGGAGATTAAATACATTTGACGTCTAAAATAATTAAAGCAATCATTTTGGCTCAAAGCTGATGCACACACACAGTTTATCACAGAGCCAAGAACAATATTATCTTAAGATCACCTACAAAGACTCCGAGAACTTTCATGTTTCCGTAGGGGTCTTCGTGGTCTGAAATTATTGCACGCATACTGGACTAGAAAGCAGTAAAGACACCATCTTAAAATAAACCAAGATTTCATCTAACTATGAAGGAACTGATAAATGCCATAGAACACTTGAAGATGAAAAGCACAAGAAAAGTAAACAAGATGGAAGCTACAAGGAGCCTCATGTGCGTCAGAACACATGAGTAGAATTAAAGCATACAAGATCTGTTAGAAAAGGGATAGTATTAATTCTAATAGTAGATGCTTTCATAAGCAGGAAGATGGAGATTGTGCCCACTGGGAGGGTGATTACTGACAATACTGGAAGAACAAAAGGTGTCTAAAGTATCAGTTTTTATGCATTAAAAAACATGAAGAATCTTTCACTGTCTAATTTCAGTGTTTCTCTAACGTAACGCTCTTCAGTTAACCTTAGCTACTAAATATAATGTGCCCTCTGTCCTTTTATTATCTAGAGAGAAAACTGACCTTTCGCATTGCAAATGCTTCCACGGCAAAAAGAAGACACTGAACTTATAATTATCTCCCAACAAATAGGACCACATGTGACATCTCATGAACATTCACAACATAGACCTACATGTGAAACTGACACTTATTCTGCAGATGGGAAAGCACTAAAGAATGTGCCTGGTTAATTCTGAAGCAGGAATTCCAATCCAAAACTGATTAACCTAAGCCTGCCCTGCCCTCTAATTAACATTCTCATACTAGGTTATCCTTTAGCTGCAAAGCAACATTCATACACTGTCAAGTGCTCAATGGCATCTCGAGTTCAGAGAAAATTTTAGCATTCAATTTTAAAAAAGAAACATTAGAAATATTATCAAATAAACTAATAATTTGAAATCAGGAACTGAGAACAGAAAACAATAAGTCATACTCTAATTTAATCAACAGTAACACTGCATAATATTTTACCTAGTGTTCTTCATCTTCATATTAATCTAGTATGGTCCTGCAGAAATTTCTAATACTCAGTCTTGTTTTCAAGCCACTTCATCCCTCTCAAGGTTCTGCTTCAATCAAGGATTAATAAAATACATTACACTGAATGAACTCTTGAAAACACATGGCAAATATTAATTCACACAATGAAAGAGCAACTAAGCCACATCCCCAAAGGAAGATGCTAGAGAAATTGCAGCCAGGACTTACTAATTGTGACTATTTTAAGATATATTTCCATAGAAATAAATGCAATTTTCATTAAGTGATTGTGTCTTAATTAAACAATTGCTAACAACTGTCCCTGTGGCCAATAGCAGGCATAACTAGCTATAGATCCAGAATATATGTTTACATATTTGGTTGTATGAACACCCATGCACTCCATCATAAATGTATTCTGATATCTGTCAATTCCCTTTTATGCCAACAGCATTACTAGGACTGGCCCTCATCATGGAAAACAATTCTTCAAGGTAATAGTTACTCTAGATGATCGGACTGATTACACTGAGACACACTCAGATGTCACTAAAGCACACTTCTGAGTATGTCTGTCAAGGTATCTGGTGATAGTGACATGAGGACTCTGACCTAAGCAAAGACTTAAAATGGGAATTGACTGTAGGGAAATGGTCAAAGTGTGGGAGGAGGGGCCTCACAAGAGCTCCTGGTTACTGGAACCTCTGGAAATTTCACAATGGAATTTTCCTTGCTCTGGAGAATTGATGCCCTTCCCCTATAATGAAATTGATGTCTACCTTGGTTACCATTCCTGGAGCCTTTGTCCAGTAGCTCTTCCAAGCAGAGACAGGCACCCACAGCTAAGCACTGAACTATATTCTTGGAATCCAGTTGTGGAGAGGGAGGAGGGATGAGCAAAGGAGCCAAGACTGTGCTAGAGAAACCCGCAGAAACAGTGGACCTGACTTATTGATAGCACGGAGACCCTAGTCATAAAGTTATGGAAACAGCTTTGGACCGAACAAAGCCCTCTGAACGTGGGTGTCAGCTAGAAGGCCAGGGCAGTCTATGGGACCTCTAACAGTGGAGCCAGTCTTTATCCCTGGAGCACAAATGGACTTTGGGAGCCGATTCCCTATGGAGGGATACTATTGTAGGCCAGATACAGCAAGGAGGGTCTAGGTCCTCCCCCAAAGATATAACAGACTTTGAAGGTCCCTGGTGAGAGGCCTCACTATCCCTGGGGGTAGTGGGGGATTGGGGTGGGGTGGAGGGTTGGTGGGAAACATTTGAGGATGGGAGGTTTAGGAAATGGGGGAGATGGATATGTAAATATGAGTAGTAATTAAAGAATAAAAAATAGAATC